TTGCTTATTCAAAACCTGACACTGAGGAAACAGACGGGCATTACAGACAAAAGGAGGAAGAAATCCAATAAATAAGTTCTAACATGTGCACTTGTAATAACAAGTTGGTGCGCCACAATCAGGAAACAAGCGCCTGTCTACTGTGCTCAATGTATTTCCTTGATGGGATTGTATTAACCATATACTGAAAAGAATATTATTATACTGATCAGGAAAAACAAAAGGACAACATGGTGCAGAAAGTTGTGCATTTATTCGCAGTATAAACATGGTTTTAATCCCGGTGTCATATTGAAAATCAGACTCCTATAAAATCTGGTCCCTTTTTACCCTTTTATTGGTTGAACCAATGAGCATGCCTGTCTGGGGCCCATGCTTAAAAGCTCTGCTTCTCAATGGGACCCTCTGCAGTGTCCTTAAAATATCACTTTTGTTGTATTATTTGTAATTCTTTTTCTGTTATGTAATTATTTCATGTCATTTATTGATTTGATACTGTGGAAAATAAACGAACCTTGAACCTTGAACCCTCACACGTGGCCAGTCATTCTCCAAAATCTTCACTTAATAGGGATAATCAATACTCCCAATGAGTCCGTATTTCATAGAGTCCTAAATTCACGCTACCCCGGGTACGGTCTCGTGAAATCGAATACATGTAAACATTTTTTAAAGTTCAGTCATGACCTTTGTTTTTCCTGTTTACTTCGCCAAATTAGATTGAAGATTGTTCTAATTTGTGACGTTCGTTTAAAGATATACCGTGCCATTCCTAGCTCATAAGCGAGGAATCGTGTGCTTTTGTGCAGGCTGATTTACAGAACTATACAATTCCCCCGTTAAAGATTCCATGAGAGATTCTGGATATATGAATCATCATCACCTTTTATTGTAGGTCATAAGCATTGTCGTCACCACCGTCATTGCCACCGTTGTCGTTCTTATTATCAGAATTGTCACACTTGTCACTTTCATCGATGATTGCCATCCTCTTCATTGATGTTGTCACTTTTTGTGTCATCACCATGACATCACCATTGACATTCCTATCATCATCAGTGACCTTTCTCTCTGTCACCTTCGTCTTCATTGTCATTGTCGTCACCAAGATCGTCATTAGTGTTTTCATTGCGTCGTCATGACTACCCGCTAGCGCTTCGAAACCCGTATTCAAAGGAAACAGACAAAAATGTAACAGCATTTCAGTGAAATTTGATAGAGAGATGAATGGCCTGTATAAATCATTCGGTGTATATAGGTTTTTCGAAGTCTTATAGCAATTAACATTGGTATCACTTCAATACACCTGTTAAAAAGTCCAACAAGTAATGTACATTGTAAAGGGGTGATTGTGTGACCTATATTTGCCGAGGTTTACACTCTGATTTTGGTTTTTTTAATACAAATTCGCATAGTTCATAAGCTCTTCCCTTATCAAATCATTCGAAAATTAGACCATCCGGTTTTGTAATGCCAGCTTAAATTCGTTCCTTAATTGTCCTGAAAACAGTCACCCCATCCGCGAGGTTTATTGTAACAATTCGGGTCATAGCTGAGATATATATTGCAGGGAAACGTCACTTACAATCACTCAGTCTAATTGCTGCACTAAGCACTGACACCGTTATCATTATGTGACACCGGGGCTGGTTGGCCAAATCAAAAATTGAATTTCTTCTGAACTTTTTTTTTACGAGACCTTGAGAGGCCTGCGTGATTTCAAGTTCTTCGCCGATTACTCACAAATGTCTCCAATTTACCGCAACACGTATGGCATTGGGTCTAAATTTGCCGGAATACATGGACTCATTTTGCGAATACTAAAGCACCTTTTGAAAGGTGGTTTTATAACGAATATATGAATTCAAAAACTGGTCCTTCGTTTGTTTTAGGACCCCGCCCCCTTCTTTACGAAAGTGAAATAGTGTTTCAATGGACAGTTTTGATAAGCTGTAACTGTCTGACGTTTTCTGTTGACTGCTTATTCGCTTTTGTTGACTGCTTATTTATCAATAAACTTTCTGAAATGAATGCTCACTACAGTTTCGTGTTGATTGCAAGTAACGTTAATCACCGGGTGTGCACATGCAGCATCCTTGCAAGTGCTGGAAAAAATAGTGGCGTCATTTAAGGCACTATAAATGTATAGAGCAGATAATATGCTAACTGTTTCTTTCTTAAATGCAAAATGATTCCAAACGAACTAAGGAAAGCAAGGAATTGTGAACATTAATGAATGGAGAAAAGCTGGATTTAGTTGATAACAAGAGGCCTCTTTTCTGACTTTTAAAAATCAGAAATTCTTTGCGGGAGCTTGCGTGGGTTACCCGAAAGATCTATGCGATTGTTGGATTGTTTGTTGTTCGAATGTTTGCTTGTTTGGTGGGGTGTTTGTTGGATTGTTGGGCTGTATGTTAGTTTTTTGGGGGCTGTTTGTTAGTTTGCTTGATTGTTTGTGGTGTTTATAATTTGTTTGTTTCCAGAAGTCATGGCAATGTCTTCTTCCGAACTCATAATGATTCGTAGTTCGATCAGTACTCAGAACTCTGTGAATGAACTCCCATTTTTCATTCAGAAAGGTTGCATTTTTAATCACGATCCCTTTTCCTATTTGAATTGTAGATTACAGGTTTTTGCTTTCCTTTCCTTATGTTCACTGCACGCTGAACACATGTTCACAGCCGAGTCTGAATGTCAACCAGATTGTTTAACCGACATTCGTTATACAAGTTACAGAAATTTGCTGTTATAATTATGCAAATATAGCAAGTGCGATATAATATTTTGGTTGATATTACTCATCAGCTTTCAAAGTCGAACAATAGTTGTATTATTGCTCAATCCTAATTACAACGACCAGTATAATTATAGCGATTAATTGTGTCCTATATAGGTTCCGAAAATCCTGCATTTGCACGTTCTCAGTACGGAAAGTCTGTACCGACGTGGTTAAAATTTACTCAAACAAACATTGACGATCAAAGTTACATTTTCGTTTCTGGAAGCAGATTATCGATTCCGTAAACATGGACGCTTGTAGCGACGTTACAAAAGAATATTTGCAAGAGAGCTGGGTTAACAGGATGACGAGTTCAATGTAGTATCCGAATGTGTAAAAAAAATCCCATTTACGATATATTATATAACTCGCCATCTTACTGCCTATACATTAAATCCCACCATCGGTTGCAACATCAGCGTCACTTCCGGGAGAATTCGCCCATTATACCACAAGATGATAATAGTCATTGGAAAGCTTGTTAAAAAGAGTAGAATATTTCGTGTAATTTGCGCGAGAAGGCATTTTGGGGTAAACAGTTTATGTTTCCTCAAAACGCAAGACGTCTAGGAGCGCTACAGTCGTCATTCAAGTCAAACATATTTCTTTTCAAAACGCTGGTCAAACGCGTGTGCGCTACAGAATCTCTGTGAAGCTGGCATGGGACCTGATATCTCACATTGGATTTCCTTAAGCATTGTATGCGGCGCCAGTCTTTTAATTACCGGTACAAACATGGCTCAAACTCCGATGCTTGAATTACGTATAGACATGGCCAAAAACCGCTGTCACGTCAAATGTAAGCAAATGGGGGTTGTCAATGTATTCGCCGTAAATGTACAACGTAATATTGATTTCCTGTCACCCAGACGTTTGAAATAAGACAAGAAAAAATCTAAAGCCAGACATTTTGGCGAAATCTGGCTGAAGGTCATGGCCCCCTTTGCCCCCCCCCCCCGGATCCGCCCTGAAGGTATACCTTTAAAGTTTTCTATCAGGGTGTAAAGAGACATTCTCAATTCAGTGAACGTGTTCTTATTTCAGCTCCACACCGTCTCTGCATGGTTCTCTTTCACTCTCGTCCAGAACATGGCACCCTTGAACGGTTCGCCAGTAACTTGATTGATTGAGGTAAAACAAGCGGGCCACAGGGGAGAGGGGACGGAGAGGGGTACACCACGAGGCACCGGCGGAGTTTAGGGGGTGAATCACGGCTCATTTCCCCTCTATTCCTTGCGGGAAGGCTTGGGGGGCTTAGACCGTTCCTCGCATAGTGCATTCCCCTCCTCCGTGGGCCGCCAATCATATGGCTACGGTTGCGACGCCCGCAGTGGACATCAATCTCCCAAGATTGCTAAATTAAAAACTTTTGTTTTTGCTTAAGTTTTTGGCCTTGTTATCTCTGTTTTGTCAATTATTTCGGAGGGGTAAGAGGAAAATGCTAGTTGACACCGGCCCGCAACCAGCAGACGCGTTAGTCATGCCATGGCGCCGCCAACGGTGACGTCAAAATTCGGCCTCAGCAAACTTCACTATCGGGCATTTTTCCCAATCTTCCATTTTTGATGTTGGTTGTAGGTGACACTGGAAGACGTTTCAGCGTGAAGGCCTGACACGGCAGGCAACGCCCCCAGCAGAAATCACACGAGGATTGTGATTCAAACCATCTGGCCGAATGTGTAACTTGTCACTCAATAATTTTCTGTCATCTTTAATATTGATTTGTCGTAGTCTGTCAAATCAAAGAAGTTCCAGCCATGGACAAGGACAATCGCTTGTTCAATCACTGAGGAATTCCCTTCAATCACTTCACTTAGCCTTGTGGTGACAAGAAAAGAGTGAAAGTCAGCCGTTATCAGCGCTCCAAGTTTACAAAAATATCAAAGTCGTTCACTTGATTCAAACTTGTCGTCGATAAAGGCTCCGCGAAAACTTATGCCGTGACATGGCACTGTGGCAGTCAGGGTACTAGTTTGCTAGATAGATCAATTAAAACGCATCATTTCTTTAAAAAATGCAAACATTTAGCTCAAGTTCTCCAGCAAACGGTCAGCAGCAATATTACTGTTTACATCGTCACTGCAACGACATCTCTCATTGACCAATCAACGACCTGCTTCGTGCGCTTAGGTTAAAGTGCCCGGATGCAATGGCTGAAATGACTAATTGACAGCCGGCCGAATTAACAAGAGCCAGAAAAAAAACAATGTGACGTGCTGAAGCTATGTAGCCCCTCCCCTTGTTTCTGGCTTATTGTCAGTATCCTTGTTGTCGTCCACAGGATACACACACTCGCAATTGGGCAGTTCTTGACAGTTTGCGTACTATTGCCAACTGTACTCCGTGCCGAGCCGAGGCCATATCACACAGGGCCAAGCACCGCGACCCTCCGGTCCATTCACCAGTTGCGTGTGCTGCATAGCCGGGGCTTCCAGCAACCCGACCGCGTCAGTGTAACTTCTCTGCTAGTTGATCAGTCGTGTCCGTTAGTTGTTCTGGCCAAAAACACAGTAACGCTCTCTTCACACAACTTTTCTTCGCCGGAACACAGCCGTGATTTCTGCTCATTTCTATCCGGTCTCTTCAAAATTTGGTTACTCTTCGATGTAGGTTTACAAGGATTCTGCTGTCATGATAGGCCTACAGTACTACTAAGGAGGATCATCTATGGACTAAGTTCAGTTTATCCAGAACTGTTTCTACGACCGTATTTCGTGTCACCATGTCAACATTACAGTACCCTGGACCTCCCCCACCATCAAGCATGAACCTTCATAACCCTCACATGAACCACCACCATGGCCTGGTGGGTCCCGGACTTGCACCCCTGTCAGCTCCTAACGGTATTCAGTCCCTGAATACGCTCCACAACGGTAGCGGACCGCCGTCACACACTCCCTTCTACATCGATAATATCCTGGGGAGCCGCTTGAACATGACGGGGCCAGCGCGGCCGACACCGACACTACCAAGTCCAACTTTCCCGGCGCACATGAACTCAGCGTACAACTCGTACTACGAACAGGCAGTCCATCCCGGGCTGGCCGCACCGACACCGATCAGCTACGGGTCCGGCGCCTTCTCCAGCCCGCCTCCTTACCCGTTCGCCCGGGGTGACTACCCACACGGACTAATCGATAGACACGATCCTTACTCGAAAGGTAGGCCTGCACTATTTCACAACAAATTTATAGTAATTTCACTAATTCCATTCCTTTAAAAAGAATCATGTTTTTGATTCATAACTCTGTACTGCAAATATATTAAAAGTATTAGTCAAAAATGATTCACCGCTTGTAGTCGTTTTGAAAAATCTCGTGCTTTTCTTATTGCTAACTGGAACTCGGTACACACTGAATGATTATTCGCAGACTCCAACCACTTTGGCTCAAAAAGGACCCGGTGTCTGGCAATAACATTTTAGACGAATTTGTTGTTCAGTAAATAAACTGCAAATCTCTGTTTTAGCATTGTTTTGAAAGAGTACGACACCTCTGTTGATGATGAAGTTTAAGACAGTCAGACCGGTCCAGTTTTTTTGTTAATTATATAATTATCTTCTTTGATTTAGTCCCATGGATTACCGTACCGCCGCTCTACCAACTGAGCTATCCAGCCTTAACACGGTCTCCCAACTCGGCAATACCTTTGTTTTCCAATCACTTTTCGTGATTTTGAAGCCGATTGTTTTCAATCATTCATATGTAGCTTAATAACTTTCCAAAAGCAGTAGCTGTCGTCGGATTTTAGAAAACAGCAAACCTGCATGCCAACGCATTTGTTTGTGTCAGCTTGCAACTGAAAAAAAACCCAGTCAAATAACTACACTTCAGTTAGGATTATTGACTGGAAAAGGTATAATTATTAGTCCGGAAAGCTAAATATTTTGCGTGTATTTACCATATAAACGACTAGAATATGGTTTCCCAGTGTTTCAAGACATGTGCCCGCGCGGGCACATTTTCTTAAAACACTTTCATTTATTGTTTTCTTCCAAATGATACCATTTCAGGCGGAATAATTTTTCAGGGTATTTTTGTACCAGTCCTATCTTCATTTTTAGCAAGGACTTTTGTTTGTTAGATCGGTAGGTATGTTTCCAGGTAATTGTAAATGTTCCTATAAGTGCCTTCAGTTTGCACGTTTTTTTCGCCATTCCAACGAGACTGTTATCTCTGTTGTTACATCTGTCTGTCCTACGATATCCTCAACGTTATATGACATGGTTTATTAATGCTTTATACCGAGTATCAGGAAGTGACATGCGATATTTCAATGAAACGAATGAACATCCGAATCAGGGTAAAGTTTCAGGAAATGTTCAGCGATTTTGATAAGGTCAGTTTACTAGGAGCGTTTTATATCAGCAATAAACAAATTGGACATGCGTCGAATTTTGCCATTGGAACATTTTTTTTCAGAATCATGTACTTGTGTTTCGTTTTTCAGCGAATCATAATAACATTAAGCTGTTGGAATTTATCACGAATTAAACGTTGAACAAGTGCATGTCCTCCTGTTCCGGTGTGTTATGGTGAACTCAAATTGGTACAAAAGAGGGCAACTTTAGATTTGAATACAGAACAAGGTGTTTGATCCTCGTTTTTGCCCAAGGGAACGAAATTGTGTTTTCAAGTTGATATTTATGTAAACAGTTATTCGCTTGTTCGGGAGATGATCAAATAGTTAACAAAACAATGAATAATTTATATCGACGCCTATTAAGTACTTGAAAACCAAGCTATACAAAATGCGTTCACTTCAAGTGTACATAACCGCAAAAGGAATGTAAATATATTCTTCTTAAATATTTAAAAAAAAAAAAAGACCAGAAACATTCAGAACATGATAATGAGGGGCGCGATGTACGTATACCGATTGCTACTGAATCTGTGATTTCAAGCTTATTTCGTCATTCGACTTCTCATATTTTTAATTACATCGTATGCCATCGGAAAAGCGTTGAAAGTGTAGTCCTACTTTTCAGCAACCTGGATAAAGACATATTAATTTCAAGAACTATATACGCTGTGTAGTTTGTAGCGGTATGGTTGGTACCCGGCACCTCCGAGACCTGGCCCTACCCCCACCGGAAGCCAGCGATCAGCTATTACTGCGGCACGTACTGAATCAGATTTTCCGCCGTGTCTCATCCATTGTCACAAGTGTTTCCGGCCCGTCATGTCAATGGGGAGTCAAGCACGGTTTGATTGGGGGAGGGGGGCTGTGGTTACGTGCAAGAGAATCCCTACCTGCAGAGGGATGAGAAGGGTTGCAGTGTAGGGCAACCTTCCATACTGACAGTTGATCGGGGAACTTGTAAAAATTCCTTTTCATTTTGGATGATTTTGGAAGTAGATAAAATCAGGATTATGACGATCATAACCACATGCAACATGAATCGGACGCGCGACCTACAATTAATCATGTGTGATTCATGGAAACAAATCAGCATTTCCCCTTTCGTTTTATCTGGGGTATGTCGAAGTGTTTTTTTTTGTGCGAACATAAAACATGAATATTCGAAATAAATGAGTTCGCAAGGAAAACGTGTGAACAATATTCTTTTCGGACAAATGATACAAAAGCTGGCTTTTCCCGGGAATGTGAAGCTTTCTCAACCAATTATGTTTTCTAAGAAAAAGTAATGGTTACAAAATGCAACTTTTTAGTCAGTGGCATGAAAAACTATAGTATTACTTCTCAGGTTTAACCTAGCTTATTTCTTAAACAAGAACATCCGGAATGAAACGAGTTGGTTCCTTTCTAGAAACACAGGCATTCTTAAGGCGAAAGAAGGACTTGAATTGGGGGAGAAACAAAGGGGCAATACACCCCGAACGTCAACGTGGAGTTGAAGGAAGAGTCAGTAATGAACTACTGTCTTCCTATTGGACTCCCCGCAGACCCCCAGCAAGTTCCTCTTAATACCGAGTAGCGTGCAAATATAGCCGCGGGGCAATCCAGACAAAATAAGGGTGCTATCTAAGCCGTGTTCACTTTGGTATAGAGGAAAAATAGAGCTGACTGTATGAATTAACCTATTAGACCTTTCCCGGTATTGGCGTTATAGCGTGGAGTTAGCCATTTTGATTGATGGATTGATAGTCGCTACTTCCCCTCAATAAGGTGTCGGTTTATCGCTTATAAACATCACATAAACAGTGCACAGTGCAACTTTTAACAAGACATTACTGATTTGAGTATTGATATTCAACCAACACTGGCTTCTTGTAACCCACAATGTGTATTAATCTAGACAAAGCTTTGCTGTTTTATGAATCATCTATAAGTTTATCTGGTGTGGAGGCATTGTCGGGCAGAATTTTATTTTCTGAAGATTATCAAACAACGACTTCCTTTCCGATTGCATTTCTCTTGAATAAGCTACGTTTCAGAAATCTCTAAAAGCTTTTACGGAACTTTCACCAAGTAAAACATTTACATCGAAGACAAACCTTCGTTTTCTTTCCGGAGCCAAATATCTATCAGGTTAATAGTTCATTAGGTTACATAATGGTTGTGTTAGGGGGAACAATGGGGTAATTTTAACTTGAAGGATGTAGTCATTTCTTTTGACAGGGCAGATATAGCCACTCAGGTTTCTGTGTGTACTGCCGTAACAACTTGAGTGGTCCTATCAAAGTCAACAAGTGTGAGAAGTGGAATATCTGAACTGTGTGAAAACACCAAAAGCTTTGACAATGTGTCGCTAAAACCTCCCCACGGCCCTGACAAAATGTTTGCCGATTCACACCGGACACACAAAAAGCCGTGAGATCAAACAAAGCACGCGGTGCATCAACACAACACCGACAAGAACGCTGAGAGAAAACATTCGGTACTTTCCTTCACTGCCTCCTGCATTATTTCGGGTTGAAACTCAGTACACAGAGAGCTAAAGACACGTCAATTCCGGAAACCGTGCCGGACGCACCAGGCCTGTCAGTCATCCCCTCCCCGTTCCACACGGCCGTGATAAAGCGGCAAGCGCCCGCTAAACGACCAACGAAAAACCGCGTAATTGGCTGAGGTGTAATATGTTTGATCAACCCTCATTGTTGCTATTGTTAGAGTGTGTTGTCGTTTAAACACTTCACCCATTGATGTTGGAACCATTATGAACGGCATGTCATGGATGTTTGCTTGTTGACAGCCCAATCCATTACTGAATGAATTCGTTGACTTTTTTTTGTGTCCATTTCTTAAATCCCCTCCACTGTCTCGTCTGTCAATTTTTGAGCGCCCACACGCAGTGCGAAAAGAGCTCTTGAAGTGTCACAAGATGTTCAAACAGTAAAAGAAAATTCTATTGATTTTTTTCTCACAGTAGAAATTGGATTGTTTTAAATGGGGTCTTTTTTATAGTCGTGCCCACTGCCCAGTGTTGAACAACGGCCGGAAAACCGCAAACAGGCTTCTGTATGCAATCATATAGCTACATTATGCAAATTGTAGGTTGCGTAATAAGTGTGTTACAGGTTGAAGACGCATTGTCTTTTGATATGAGTCAAGATTTTGAAAGCTTTTTTTCTTAGGGTCTTATTTTAATTGCTAAATCTTTGGCCACGCAAGTCTTTGTCTATGACATCTTGTTCGTTCTTTATCTAATGTCTTTTATCTTATGGATACCTTACAGCCTTTGAAGCATGAAGATGGACCTCGCATTTCAACTTTTTTCTATGCAACTTCAAACCAAAGATAAAAATGAAGGCAATATTATATTCAAAGGTTTCACAAAAGGGTTATAGTTTAGGTAACTTTTTTCTGTAAAGAAGGTTAATTGTTAATTGGTAACTAGCACAAATGCAATGTACATTGCTCCAGTTATAAGTTAAGTATCATTTCAGACTTTTTTTCTACTATTTCAGACTTGACCGTGCGTCTTGTCGGCAACTTTATTTCACAGTGGTCAAAGGGTATTTTTAAAGCCCGGTATATATTTAGAGATGCGTGCTGGATATATTTTGGAACCAACTCGCAAGCCTCACCTTTGAAATTTTTTTATTTTTAGGCAAACACATTTTGAAAATGACATTGCTGCCTGGTTTCAATTTAAAACACCTCTCTGTTCACCCTCGTCCCCAACCACAAGTGCATCTCGAAAACATTGAGCAGTGACTTAGCAGAACCACCAGCAAGGCTCAGCAAGGCTGGATTCATTAGGCGGTATTACCATGCATTGTAGACATTAACAACCAGGGATTAACCAATCATATAGCGTCGAAAAGGGTTCGCAATCCCTGTAACTATACTCAGGTAAATGCAACGTCATCACGTCACATGGGTGAAAAATAACGGGTTTTTTTCGGGGGGGGGGGCAGGAGTGGTGGTTTGCTTGGTTGTTTGGTTGTTTGCTTGCCTGATTGTTTTGAATAGTTGAACCTTTACGTCCCCCGTATTGTAACAATAAAACATTCACATCCCATGCACTTGTAATAGTGAAACTCCAACTACTGGCAAATTATTACGCAAAACTGATAGCATACCGGAATTGGGAACAGTCATTGTTTTAAAGGACCCATGCAATGTATCGTGTGTTTAATGCAATCCTCGAAAAAGCTCATTCGTGTCCCATTTAACCTTATTTTCAATTATCGTTTTGCCTTTTTCAAGGGTATTTTGGTGCCTTTTTATTTTATGCTAATGCGAATTTCCATATTCATGAGCAAAAGTGTGATGTCATTTCAGGCAGAAACCTCAATATTACAGCTATTTCAGCATCAGAAGTTGCCAGAATTTTGGATATTTTGCTGTCGTAAATGTTCTTTCGTTTGGCGATTCGTTGTTGTGTCAGTAATGACAGCCAATGAGCGATCTTTTCCGTCACAAATGTTTTCAATGAGCAGATTTTTGAGTTCACAATTTGAACAGAAAACCCCCAAACTGAACAGTGTTTTTCTTGAAATGACATCACAGCAACATCGCCCTCACTTGTCCGGAAAGGCATGGAAGAAGTGCATCTTGTTTTAAAATTAGCCAAAAAGGGATATCAAATAGTTTTCTTACGGTATACATTACAAAGGAGTAAAAAGTTGCACACAATGTGTTCCAAAGAAAAATGCATCAGATCGACCATTTAATTCAGTGGCTTTATTTATTTAAACTGTAAACAGATGAAGGTTTCGATAAGAAACACATGTGGATTTCATTCTTTTATAAAGCGTACGTGATCGATATTAATACCGAGTAGCACTATCACAAACACTGTGACAAGATAGTAACTACAGAGTTTTATTTTTTATATTTAGGCACACCCTCATAGCAGATGTGGTGTTACGGGGGCGTTGCACCTGTTCTGGAGTTATGGATTGAACAGTGTCAATCCAAGTGAGCTACCAAATAGACTGGGCCAAATTCTGACGATATCCTTAAATTTCATGAGGCTTTTTACTGCCCCCTTTTTTTTTCTCTTTGAAACGCCGGAAGGAAATTGCCTCATTTTAGGAACATTAACTATTTCCACCGAGCAAGTAATCATTAGTCATGTTTTTCATGATTTGGTTTTCTGCTGCCTTCCAGAAGGGGGGAGGGATGTGCAGGAGAACTTTATTTATTGACACAACAATGCCCTTTTTGAAAATTGAGCCTAGTGATGTAAGAAGTTCATAGCATTTAACTACATGTACAACCATCAAAGGAAAGAGGGAAGTGTTGTACATTGAAATTGTACATGTTGATGGCGAGTATAGGCTCATTCTGATTTCACGTTGACCTTCATAGACAACCAATCAACGACTATTGCAACTTCCGTTCCAAAAGCAATCTGCGAGCATCTGATTGTATGACGGCGCTGTTTAGTGTGAATTCGAAACCAACGCGTGCCCGTGGCCTTGCAACAACATATCAGGGTTAGCGATTTCTGCTTGTTATAGTTAGTTCACAGTTTCCTCATCAAAAGTACATCCTCAAAATCCTTCAACCATGTTCATTCTAACAAAGAACCCAAGTGCAATGATGGTCTGTCCAGTTAACGGCTTCAATGGGGTATCAAGGAACGTGGTGATAGGGGGAGAAGTATTAACAATAATTGTGTTCAGGAGATAAAAGAAAATCAGAGAAAATTTGAAGCGGTATAGGGGCACTTAACATCCGTCCCAGGCCCGCTATCCAGCAGGAAATCAAAACTCTCTCGGGGAGAAGCAGCTGGATGGCTGAGATAAAAAGCTCCGGCCGGGCCACCCAAAGGAAGTGATACACGGGGCAAGCAATCAAGCGCCGCTGCAGCCAGCTAACCAGCTTGCCCTGACGCGCTAAGGCTGTAATAACACTGTGGTGTATGCTATCGTCAGTAGACAGCACACCAGAGAAACGTAATTACCAAGGGGCTGGGCTAAAGGCCGTGTGTTGATGCGCACCCTCAAATTGGGGAAATTGTCCGAATTAGACAATCCGTACAGATCACTTCCCGACAGACCTGGGGTCTTTTTTTCTGAGCGGGGTTTCTGGCTGTAGGCTTAGAACATCCGATTCAAGCTGCCGGCTCCACTTTTAAACGAGGGATAACAAGGGATTGAGTGACATGTGCGGATTTCAACTCCTTCAACAACCTCGGAGTCGCATTATTATTAGCGTCTATGTAATATGCAGTCCTTTTTTTGTGGCTTGCTCAGTTGCTGGAGTTGAAAACAGTTTTGGCGCCAACGATGTGGTTGAGTCATTCCTTGCGAGGTGACTCTATAATTAATTCAAAGTGGCGCACTCCAACAAAATTACAAACACTGACTTTTTTAATCGACCTCATTTGTTACCCTGAATTTGATTTCGATGATACATAATTTGATATTTAATTCCATATCGATGTGTTGAACTTCAAGTGGTTAACCTTCTATTAAGACTGAGTCATAACTTTGATGAACAAAATTGCCGCTTGCAGTAGAGGGAGCCAGTCATAATGTCATGGTAGTGTTTTATGAGGCGTGCATGTGTTAAATGCTGAAAACACAGCCTTCATTCCATGTCATGTTATCTTGTGTTCATCCATGACAATTCAATGTCATTACCCTTAGCCTTTCATTGATATGTTCTCACAGATTAATCTGTGAGGGTAGAAATGATTGTTGTGTCTCTTTCTATGTCGTTTCAGCACTAAACTTGAACAATTCATTATAACAGGGGGCCGTCGTTTAAAGATAATTCTCTAGTTCGATCAGCTTACCATTCCCTCATGAGATCAGGCAAAAAGAACTTACGAGGTATTCTATCTTTGGTGATTGCATGGCCATAATACATTACAAGGGGTCTTTTGTAATGTTCCTACTTTCTGAATTTCAAGGAGGTTTTGTTTTGTCCTGTCAACATTGTGTTGTGACGTCACGACAGCCCCTTGTAAGTGTGTGCCGAGATCCCGAACTCATATTTGCAAACTCATCGGATAATTCAATCTTGAAAATTCTCTCGGGATTTCTTTTTATTTCCATTCACTTCTCGCCCTGTATTACCTTCCATTCATGTTTTGCCCCGAGGCGGCATTCTGTCCGCCAGCTTCTTTGTTGCCTATCGCATGTTGCCAAAATTGACAATTTCCTCCAGTAATGGCCTTCCTCAATAGCAATATGCCAATGGCCAATTTTCCACACTTGGAGGTTCTTGGCCCAGGGGGAGAAACATAAAAAGTACACGATGTACATTGTACACTGAAATTGACTTCCACTGGAAATGGAATTGTTCGATAAAATGTCTTTGTTTAAACTTTTGTTCCATTTGTGTTGTTCTGTTCAACCCATTCCAAAGCGTTCTGTCTGTCAAGAAATGTCCGCGCAAGAGCAGCATTTCTGTCGCCAGTGCGTGTCTTGTTGCATGTCTTGTATGTGACTTTCGAGATAAAAAAATTACAGCTGATGGGACTATTATATTGCCGAATCGGGATCTTTCATTTAAGGTGTAGGCCGTCTTTGAAATACCGCAGTTGGAATACCGCAGTTTGAAATACTAACTTGTCAGTTGGAAATTAAATAGTGCAAATAAACAAGGTTTATTGAAGCTATTCGTATGATAAAGTGATGAAAAATACAATTCCTGATAATTATTAGGCCTATACCATTGCTATGAATTATCAAAATGATGACTGTTCCATTGCACGCACTTTTATCAGATTGAACATGAAAGATTTGTTTTTAGATAAAAGTAGTTAAAACGAATTTATTACACGAGGCCAAAAAAAGGAAGAATTTATGGACCTGATGTTAAACCTGTGACTATATGGACTACCGTGCCATGTGCTTGACCAAATTTTTAAGAAACCTATAGACGCCTCCAAAACTTCCATATTTCTGATTATATAACCGTGCTTCCTCTTTTGTTTTTCTTTTTCCAGTGCCGGGGAAACCATTTCTCTGGAACCCCTTCATCCAGAGGCCGTTGCATAAGCGGAAAGGCGGTCAGGTTCGGTTCTCTAACGACCAGACGATGGAGTTAGAGAAGAAGTTTGAAAGCCAAAAGTATCTCTCGCCGCCGGAAAGGAAAAAGCTGGCGAAACTCCTGCAACTCAGCGAAAGACAGGTAAAGCAATTGTTTGCAATCAAGGCACCTGTGACGGATCGCCAAACATCACAAACCTGGTCACAAGTTAATTCACAAGACCAGTCACAAGTATAGTAAAATGGATAAACAATATCAAACGTGACAGTTCATTTGAATAGCCTAAACTTGCGAGTTGACCTATGACTTGTGATGGACTTGTGATGCGTCGCGATCCATTACAATTATGTACAAGTTCCTCGTCTGTAGGCCTAACCCTAGCATGCATGATGTGACGTATTTCTGATGTGAAAACTAGACAAGAGAATCAAACAATTTCAATCCTTTGTATTAGCCGCTTTAATCTCTCTGTCGGAGATGAATGAATCTTCAATTTACAGAACACGGTTAAATCTGGTTTACATGCATCAGAATTTTTTTCAAACATTTCAGTAGAGGAAGTTTTTCCTTGTTTAAAATGAGGCATTAATTAGATGGCGCAAATAAACCTTGTGGTTTTCTTCGCAGTGAAGGAGGCGATAAAAATACGATTAAAGTGTCGGAGTTTATCTGGAACGAACACTCTCCCTCGTCGTGTCAGTTCGTGGAGCGATATTATCGGCGTTGCAAACGCGTGAAAATCTAGCGGCTGCTGCTGTTCGGGGCTGATTATACCTGCATTTTATCGCAATCAGCATCCACGTAAAACAATGGTTGATATAATCCAGTGTGTTTGAATCAAGATTAACGATTGAAGTGAGACACACAAAATGACGGTGACAGAACCGAATTTTGAAGGGTGTGAGAACAAGGCAGCTTCAAGCTTCAACACGGGTGGTTATCACCGGGTGCATGGGTATAGTTTATCAGCGCGGCGTGTCAGAGCTATCGCCGGTCGGTTTCACGGGTGTCGGCGCGGCTTGAGTTGCCGCGTGAGCGACTGATAGCGAACGATTAATGTGCGAATAAGCTGCGATTAGACGTGTGACTCCAAACGAGCTGAGCAAGTAGATAAACACATCAGGCGAGAAAACACATCATTCCGTGATGATCGGTTTCTGTTTTTATGGGAGTTCGCGGAGTTCACCAAAGCGATAATGGCAGTTAATATAGGTGTTGGTTGGAAAATTGGAACAAAGTAGTTGTCTATCACTTGCAATGTAAGGGAGCGAATATTTCTTTCGGCTTTCCGTGACATGTGAGAATGCCAGCGTGGTTTCACAAATTCATGATTTTCTTGATTTTTATTTTATACTTTCGTCAGTTGATCAAATGACGCAATCATCTCGCCGTTTAGTAGAATGAGTTCGATCTCATACAATAATTTTAACATAATTAATACGGGCCCAAAGTTTATCATTAGGGAGAGAGGGGGTTGTGGTACTAAAACTTTTCTTTGACTTTGGGGTTGCATTAATTTTGAGTAGGCCTACCCATGTTCGAGACTCGTACACCCGGGTCACAAGGTGAAATTGTATTCGCTTTTTCGAATGACAGACGGATGTCTCAGGAGGGGGAACTGCAGGCCCGTATGCAAGGGGGGAGGTGGGGGGGGGGGTTTCGGACGACCCCCCCCCCCTCCCCAAATCGGCCGCAGGTCCACTTTGTCCTAGTCTGCGATTGACATTTGAGTTTTACTCAAATGTGTATTTCCATGCGTAATCAACTGTTTATTAAGACATGAAAAGGTCCATACACTTCGTGGTATTAACAACCCACCCCTTCCACCAGGCTGGCTACGGCCTGACCCGTATGCAGTATTAACGGGCCCATTGCCTGTACCGTTCTGCAGTATGTCGACTGTTGCACAGGCGCTAGGCCGTCATACCCTGGTCATACCAGTGCGCCGCGCAGTCTCATTAGTATCACCCCAGCCTCCTAGACGAAAACGTCAGTTCTAGGAGACCACTTGTCTTTCTTAACCCCTGAAGTTGGTTTGTACAACCAGTTGAGAACTTAAATAGCATCTTATAGTTACGGATAAGCATTGTCTCCTAAATGATAGACAGTCCATATACTGGTGATGGAAGAGGAAAAAGTTGTGAGAAAGTTTTCTGCATTTGGTGTGGTGGTAAGACTAGACGCCATCAATGGCTACGATATTTGCTCGGCGCGCCAAGTGGCTACTCCACGGCGACCGACAGTCAATACTAGGCAGCAATGCAGACCCCGTATTACCGGTCTTACCTCCACGAAATCCCCCTTCAATTGGATAATTTCACCCTGGGTCAACATCACTGGCCCCATCCCTCCCTGCTTCTGAGACTGCTTAGGTAGCTAGCTGCCCCCAAATCCAGCCGGTTTAAAAGATTATCAAACAAGTTGTTTGATAAGTTCTTTGTGGTAGATGTTTATTGGTATTGATTTGGGGGCTCTGCAGTGAGGGGTCCTAAAAGAAGTATGAAGGGGGCTGAAGAGTTTTATCGTTTGAATCTAGAGCGGTAATCCCACTTGAGACACGCCATCTTGTCTGATGGTTGTCATGGCCACTAATACCGAATGTGATCACTTTGTGCTGCTGGAACATTTTGCTCCAATATGGAAATCCGAGGCTTGTATTGTACATCGATTGAGGCTTTATATTATGGTGTTCAATCCTGCTATGGTGTACAACATTATGGGTCAAATATCAATCGCCAAGAAATTCCACAGAGCTTACGCGGTTGCTCCATTGTCTTTTTTACATTAATGAGATTCTTAGCGGAACTATACTCCCCAAAAAAATTCTAGTCATATTGAGTCTGAAGTTGGCAAAAGTATCACAAGTCATCTAAAAAAAAAAAAAAAGACACCTGCATGGCACTCACTTAAATTCGACCAAAAACGGTTTAGAAATTAAGGCCCAATCCAAAATGTTGTAGGTTTTGATTATCTTATCGACTCCTCTTTGAAGCAACATTATAAACTTCTGTCTACTGTTTGGTAGGCTTTTGCATAGTTTAATGAAATTCGACCAATTAATTGGAAAAGCCCCCTCCTTAAAAATGCCCCCCCCCCCAAAAAAAAAAAAGATTTCCCATAATGTTGGACACGTGGGCAAGATTCCCCCGATATCTTCGTTATTGGAATAGAAACAGTTTTAATACCAAGTGTGACAACACAAAGTCAATCGGACTCGTACTCGTGGATTCGTATGGAAAAGTATTCATATTTGTCAAAATGTGCATGTGCTCGTACTCACTTAGGGGGAACATGCCTTGTATTCGTACTCTTACTCCTAGCACGGAGTTCGCACTCGTGCTCGTACTCTCGTGGAAATGTATACTCGAACACAACACTGATTTCAGCGATTCTAGAACAGATACAGATATTTACCATGCAGACAGTTCGGCACTAGGTGTTGTCCCAACCATGGAGGTATTCCTTCCTCTATGTCCAAACTGAACAAATTCACTGATAGCTTAGTCGTATTATTCGATGATTTCTCGTCATATATATGAATGATTTGTTTCGTTCTTTGCAGGTCAAGACATGGTTCCAAAACAGACGTGCAAAATGGAGAAGGGTCAAGCAGGTGAGCAATACTTTGTAGTATTTATAATTTCTCTAATTGGAAACTCGAAAGCTGTTTCGATTATGTCACTTAGACTCGTTTGGGTTTTTTTTAAGGGGAGGCACTTGCAGCTCTTAAACAATTCATATCCTAAAATGCAGTGACACGAAATTAGTATCCACAGAAAGCTAGTGGCTCTGTAAAACAAAATTAAAGAAACAGGATTTATTTTTATTATTTTTTTGGCCCGTAGGCCTATGTGGTAAAGACACTCTTCATGAGTATACAAAAATAAAAGAAAATGCAAGCAGTTCAGTACAACATAATGAAGCATTCATTTTTTTTCAATTGTTGTCCTACAAATCTCGACGCTTCGTCATTGTTAGAATTCATACTTTAAACAGTGCGTCTCTCAAGTGAATCAACTATTATTTAGTTTCGTCAAATGGACTGTCCCTTGCGTACATGTACCTGACTTTTAATACTGATCTAAGTGCTCCAAATGTGTCGGCTTATGACGTTTAAATAACCAAACACACCGCACCACCACCCAAAAAAAGCTCTCGACTTTAAGTAGACGTGATAATTGCCGATTTACCGTCTTGTTTGCAAATACTTTAATGGATCCCTTCACACACTGGGCAGCAATCACTAAACAAAAGTAGCGCGACCACATCATGCGACCACCCCAGCTCCGCTAAACAGAAACAAAACCAGACCCAGCGAAGGCGCGTCGACCAACAGATCTTATGCCGGCCGCTGTCAATATTTGCTAGGTACATACGCAGGGTCCGCAGCCGGTGCTGGCGCAGCCATTGAACTAATAAAGCAAAACTGTTTGTCAGTGTTATATCGATTTTATTTTTCTTTCAAAATGAGCTTTGTATCTAGGTTGCAATCTGTTGCGATTTTGTGACATGACCCTTAAGTTAACTTAAAGCTTGTTTCTATTCGTTTCTGTTGACTTACCCGGACTGGTTTCGTTGTCGTCAATGCGTTTGGCGCTTCTGAAGTTTTCAAATAAAATAGGGCCTACATCTCTCTTCTCTTTGCTTTTCTTGTCTTTCTTTTTCGATATTTTAAGTCCAAAATTTCCTTGTAATATGCGATTTTACTTTTCAGAACATTTAAGATATCTGTACAGATATCTGTCCCGGTTTTTTTTTACAGGATCACTAGGGTCCTTTCCGTGTATCCAAACAAGAAAGGAACCTGCATGATTTCCCCCAGCCTTACAAATCACTGCAAAAATTCGAAAGAAGTGTGTACGAGTGTACCACAATCTTCATTAATACTGACATGGTGATTTCCGTTGTCCCCCACAATTATACAGGAAGTTCCAACAGGGAAAGGAGAAGGTGACGAGAACTCTCACGAGAAACCGCGAGATTTGGACAGAGATGACTTCAGCCGCGAACAAGTACTCTCCAACGGCGCAGCCTGCGCCTTCACGCACGGAGGTGGGAGTGAGGCGGACTCGCTAGAAGAGAAAGAAGCTTGATGCAAGTCTAATGACTAGTCTTGAACCGTAGATGTACAATTTAGTTGTGGTTGGTATAAACTACGAATTTTGAAGGAAGGAGGAAACAGCCGTCGGAGTTGCGATTTAATGGGCACTGGGACGATTTTGGACGAATCTGCAAGTGTTAATTCACGACTGTTTGCTGTGTTCGTGTATTGTGCATTTGACACTGGTCTTACCCGTGGGCACATAACAGCCGTCAATTCTCTACCCAACAGAGCAGGCATGAAGGAACAATATCAATGACTTATCATCCAGTTAACGTGTACCATGGATAACCTCTCTGCTAACCCGCCGAATTTCGGCTCGAACCAGGACAGTCAGAAGGAAACATGTGGGCCTGCTCGCCATGTTGATTCCATACTGCAATTCCGAACTCTTGTGAATATGATGTGAGCTTTTGTCTTTTTTGCTTTTGTGAAACAATGTTTGGGTCATTTAAATTTGAGATATTTATGTACACTTTGTATAGGTTATTATGTTTCTATCAAAAAGAAGCCACTAGAAAATATTCTTCGGCTTTGAGCAAGGTCTAAATCTTTCATTACTCAATCAGTGACCGTTGTCTTTTTTATAATGCAGATCATAAATTATTATGCATGAAGTGAAGGTTTTTCCCTGTTTTTATGTTGTTTAATTCTTTTTAGACTTCAGGTTTTAGACGTTACATTTCGGGGCAATTCTGAACTACAGAAGTTGCCGAAATAGTGACAGTCTATTTCTTGAAGCTGAATTATGACAATCGATATTAACTCGGTGTAATTCCCAACCCAAGCAAACAAAAATTCCTTTCTTCAACAATAGTTGATCGTGCACAAGGAGTTTTTTTCGAGGAATTTTTCCACCAAAATTTCGAGGAATCCTTGTGCACGCACTTCACGATAGATCACAGCAATGCTGCATTACTCCGTGTTACAAGCCGGATGAAACTGGTCTACACAAGCCCAAAACATGCGTCGAATTAGCGGTCTTTTAAAGACTAAAGTTAATATCGTTGGTCTAAGTCAAAGATCAGGATGAGTTATACTCTTTTTGCCTGTGCCATTTTGCACCGTACGTTTGAACAATGGTTTCGTTTCGATGTTCCTTATACTTCGGAGAAAAATTGTGAAACTCACTGTCCATTGAAGAGCTAGGTTCATCTTAAGATTGATCTAAAGGTATAAGTAATGTCTTAAGAATCAATTTAACAAAAAGAAATCTGGGTTATGTTTTACAACTAGGGATACTATCATGATATCGAAAACTGACACTTGCCGTTCCTTTTTATGACCAAATCTTCTATAATTCAAATCTTTTGTCTCAAATTTATTATGAATAATAACTTGTTGTGTTTCTGTAATCGGATATTTAGTCTGCAGTTGATGCCTTCGTTTCGACATCAAGCGTTGTCATTTCATTTTGCTGTTTTGTTTGAAGATGGTTTCTGCAGGAATAATATTTATTGTACGTTTTCTTTTTGTAAAAAACACACAATTTTGAATACATTCCATAACCTTTGCGTTGGCAATAATAATGATGTTTACGACTTATCAGTCTATGACCAAAACGTGATCGGACATTATTAGAGAGATGTGGACAAGTGTGAAATTCTCAGTTTGTGTAAAAGTGAATAAATTATATGAAGTCACGTGTTCACAACATTTCGTCACTATGCTTCAATTTTTTTTTTGCTGGTCTCGCCCGGCATAGAAATATCGTATAGAAATATAGGCCTATATCCCGTCACGCAAATGAATGGCATAAATCCGGCTCATTTTGTTCAAGGGCCAATGCAATGTAATTGTTTTTATAACGCAGTCCTGAAAAAAAAATGCACCTTTGTGTCCCATTTATACCGATTTTCAATTTTCGGTTTGTCATTTTCAAAGGTATTTTTGGTGCCTTTTTGGTTTTTATGCTAATGTGAATTTCCATATTCATGAGCAAAAGTGTGACGTCGTTTCAGGCAGAAATCTCAATGTAACCGTTATCTCATTACCAAAAGTTGCCAGAATTTAGGATATTTTGCTGTCGTATATTTTCTTCTCTTTTTTTTTTGGTGATTCATTGTTGTTTCAGTACATGGCAGTGAGCCAATGAGCAAACCTTTCTCATAAATGTTTTCAGTGAACACATTTTTGGTTCACTATTTGAACAGAAATCCCAAGCCTGAACATTTTCTTCCTGATATGACATCACAGCAACAGCGCCCTCAGTTGTCCGGAAAAGCATCGGCAATTTTAAATGTTGAACTCAAGTGCACTTTTTAATGAAATTAACCGAAAAGGGATATCAAATAATTTCATGCATTTAAGAGGAGTGGAAAGTTGCGTACAATATGTTCTAAGAAAAATTCACTTCATGACCCCTTTAAGAAAATCAATGCAAGTGTTTCCAGTGCATATCCATTCTGGATCAGTTGAACAGACGTTTGTGCACTTTTTGATCCTGTTAAGTTGAAAGCGTTCGTGATATGATTTCTGTGGTCAAAGCCACATTATGTAACATTTAAATACGTGACAAGACCGGTATATTCGTGCTGAAGCCAGGGTTTCGTTAGTCTAAGTGAAATATCCCGGCCCTTGCACAGCATTGCAAGGGTCTATAAAATGCAGGCCGATTTGGCGATTAATTATGCAAAACAAGACTGCGTCAGCAAACTCGACCAATCAACATCTTAGTCCATATTTCTGATCGAAATGACGTCAGAATATCTAAAGTCAACTCCGATTGCCTGTCGTGCGGGGTCGCATAAAGTGTGCTTTGGTCAGATATATCAGACGTTGGTTCCGTTCGACAACAGGTGATACTCAGACTAGGATTCGTAAACCCGCCATCACCATGGATATCGTGTTATTGGGGTTTACGAAACCCTGGTTTCGTCTCCAACTTCGTCTCCCTCTCCAACCCAAAGTCCTTAACAACAATGATATGTTCAAATCCAATGGAAATGCCCGAAACATTCGCCTTTTGTGATAGAAATTGGTGTCCGTAGCAGAAAATGGACTACTATTGTCCTGGAGTCTGTCAATTCAGGGAGGGGAAGGGAATAGTGAAGCTTGAGTCTGAAGCCAATACAGAGACGAAGCCAAGAATTCGTGAACGCCAAGAGAGCACAACGTCTTGGTTTAATGCTTAAACAGCTGTGCTTATTTCTTATAATAATCTGACCTCGGCCTTTGGTGACTCAAACTTCGTGGAAATTACATAGCACCTGCCTGCATGCACCTGTGGAACTGGGTATACCATAGTGAACTTGAAATGACTGTTCACTGGGATTCTGATGAGAACAGACCCCAACAGTTGTTGCTCATTACTGGAACGGTTGGATTAAAAAGGTCAGCGTCCACTGAAATGACCAATAGGCTTACTTGTACAATTATTATCGAGATCAGCATGAAAGTTGTCGTTTCGTTTTGTTTAAAACGATTCCTGTTCTAAAAAAAAAGGTGCACTTCTTTACTATAAAAAAGTGCATTTCTTGAAACATTTAAAATTGTCATTTTAGGAAGACAATGTTCAATTAAGGGGTTTTCTGTTCAAATCGTGAACCCAAAAATGTGCTCATTGAAAACATCTGTGAGAAAAGTTTGCTCATTGGCTTACTGCCCTGTACTGACACAGCAGCGAATCACCAAAGAACAGAAAACATTACGACAGCAACTATTCAAAATTCTGGCAACTTTTGGTGCTGAAACTTGAACTGTAACATTGAGGTGTATGCCTGAAATGACATCACACTTTTGCTCATGAATATGGAAATTTACATGAGCACAAACAACCCTTGAAATGGCAAAATATAAATTGAAAATATGGTTTAATGAGACACAAAGGTGCATTTTCAAGGACTGCATTAAAATACACATGTGTAATTACATTGCATGGGCCCTTTTAGCTCATCTATATAATTGCGGGTTTCTCTATCATTCAAAGATTCAGATACCAAGTCAAACGAATTAACAATATTTATAAAAAGATGGAAATGGATTTTTTGACTTATTGTGAAAGAAAACACCACAGACACATGTATTCGGGAAATCCTGCAGTTTTCAGCCAAATAAAGGATGGGCTTCGCGGGTCCCGATCTTATCAAAATGGTCTTTGCTCTACCCAATTGACAATGTTTTGCCAGCTGATTACCCCGTTCATAACCACAAGTACCCATTGTCGCCAAAAACCACTCCAAAAACTAGAACGTGTATTTAACTGACTGCAAAAAAAAAGAGATTTTGATACACAGTGGATATCGAGCATTTGTTGGAATAACTAGGATATGATCAGATATGATCAGAGAGATGTGTGGGAAAAGCGGCCAAAGTGCGCCTCGTTCTAGTTTCTTTTATTTCCTTTCTTTTTTCTGGTTTTTTTTTTTTTTTTTTTGGTTATACGCAAAAGATTGGAAAAGTACATGCACACAGTGTGATAAGTCACATGCACAGGTCGTCAAAGTTTCAGAATAGAAAAAAGAATTCAGCAACGCTGTTTTTACATCTGAAAATGTGGGTTAGAGATCATGATGAAGGTGCATTGTGGAACGATAGAGTGGTACGGGTGTGGGTATAATTACCAAGGGGGAACCGAGGGTCTTTACTAATTTACGTGGGGACACCGATGGAATAAAATATAGCTGGGTGTTCCCATCCACACCTGATACCCCCACTCCCGTATCTCCGTCTGATGCGTTGGAATCGTTTGTCAAGAAGCCGAGTTGTGTGTTTTTGCATCATTGTATATTGCATGTTGTTACGCATCTATTTTGACCAATCCAAGTACAATGAGCACTCATTTAGACCCCCTTTAAATGGCGTAAGCATATTGTTCAGATTGTCTATCATTGGGCACTTGCTTTCACCATTGGAGGGGGCCTCTGCAAATTTGTATACAGTGATATACCGTGCTTGGAAAGGGACACAAAGGGATCACATGACATCAACTGGGGACAGGGGGAGGGAGAGAGGGGCGTGTCCATGTACCCTCCTTATCTTGAAGCGCATGTTGCTGTTGTTTTCTTTGTCTCTGGTGACTGCCGTTTCCTTTTTCTTTGATTTGTTACTTATTGGTAGCCCTTTTGCTCGATTATTGATTTCGTGTCCTTTTTTAATATTACACTATAATACTCTTTTCTTGTTTATTGATATTAAGGCAACACTTTTTTTTCCTGAATTTATATGAATGACTATGCATGTTTTCGCTACAACGATTATACTGACATTTATTTGCTAATGTGACAAATACATGCACTTGCACCGCCCATGGTGTGTTTCAAGTCTGTGAAAATCGGCTGATAATTGATAACTAATAGTACAATTAGATTGATACAGCTCCTAATTGAAGTGATGTTGAGCTTTGACGTGCAGCAGAGCCGTTATGTCTACCTGATAGTGATAACCTCTGGTTTTGGGTCTATCAGCTACCATGCTCCAATAAGCTTCAAGCCTATAACCAGCCAAGCGAGTTGATGATGGGGTTTAGATAGGCCTAGCTGGGCCAGACGGAGCTATTCTTTACGCCGTAGCGGCTGGCGTCCCACACGGCGCCCGGGCCCTCCAAACCGCCATCTCACCCGCGAAATAAATGACCCGTCTTATCGCTGCACCAATTGACGGTTGTTCAAGTGGCGAAGTGTGGGGTTTTCATAGGAGGGTAAACACACACAAGTTTGGGATCATGGGTGGGGGAGGGGTGGATCAAGGTGTCCAAAATTAACAAAATAAATGACCAGTTGTATATTTTTTTGGGAATGCCTGGTTATGGCTTGACTAAATTATACGTAGATGAAAATCAGCTCAAATCACGCAATGCTCTAGTAACTACTACTAAATTAGCAATGAGTCACCAGTCTAAACATAGCGCTTGTTACAACATACGATTTTTGATGTTGCACTTTTGCTCAGTTTAAGGTTATTAATATAGGACACTCCAGTTTTACCACTTTTTAATGAATAGATAAATGTATGATCACTGTTTTCTCTCTACACGCGTCAGTTGCGAGGTGTAAAGGTGAGAATCTTATATGGTCATCTTTCTTCCATTCTTATGGACTGACTGACCACGATACCAGGCAGTGTTAGTTACCATATAAGATTACCCGTAAGGCATCACCCAAGTAAATAGGTCAAAAAATCCGTCCGCCGAGCTCATGAATAAAACTTATACACTCAAATTATTCTATATTATAGAGAGTTCTGAGAGCCATGGAATTGGGAAATTGAAGACAATCATGTGGGACTGTACCACCTCTGGCCTGGACTTGGAGCTTCCAATTCTGAGTATTGTGACTGCAATTGGGTCCGAAAGTGGCGCTATTTAGCCATGTTGTGGAGGAATCCTTGTTCAAAATGGCTACTTTTCCAGTTAGGGAAACATCATTCGTTTTAGGGGTGGTGTTCTTTGGGTTAGAAAATCTCAAAAAGTCAATGGTCAACCCATCAAAATTGTCAATCATGGCCAAGTTCGGGCAAGGACCATTAGTCGACTAGTGGTTGATTTGTGACGTACCTTACGCCTGCGCACTGATAGCAAAGTGCGAACGTCTCTAGTCGAACGCTGGTCAAAATGTCATTGCAAAACGTCTGGATCCTGGCTCCCTGCTGTACGTTATGAACGCGCGCGGCTATGGTTACCAGCGAAGCAACCAACCCCAGTAGGCTGGTTCCAAATA